TGCCTGGCAAGCACAAGATTCTAAGTTCAATATCCAGAACCAAAGACAATAATAAGAATTTCATACTGTTGTATGTTGAAGTAGCCAATGCTACTGAATATAACTATGCTCTCTGTTTACTGAATTAATTCCCCAAACTAAACTTTCTGACAAGAATATGCTATTTACTTTTGGGTTCTAGCACTACTTACTGATCAAAGATCCTTAAATCTTTATGACCAAGAGCAAAGTAGTATCCAGGGAAAGGAATATCATTTTTGGTGAATCTTGTCAATATATACAAATCTCTTGGGTAAAATTTAGGACAAATATTTCATAAAATTACCTTAAATAATTGAGGTTATGAGCTTACAAGCCTAAAGGGGTAAATTAGCCTGAATATAAGATACCATATCTTAGCAAAACCTCTGGCTCATAAACATGTTTCCTGTATAAAGGGATTTCAAAAATGAGACAAAAATCGAAACTGCTACAATATAGCATACTATGTTAGTTGATCAGTTTCAAATTCATAGCATAAATCACATTAGAATACTACTTTATTCTGAGCACATGAATACTCAGAATAGGATTCATTTTTTCCTCTAAATGAAAGATATTCAGGATGGTTGAAACAGAGCATTTGTTTTCTTAAAGATATATTTAAAGACATACACTGATACTGTTTATAGTGTACTCCAGTCTACATCACAGTTAAAGCAAAATTTGAACTTTCTGCATTTCTGTAAAAAGTAACCTTGCTCTACTATTCTACAATAATAACACCTATAACTTACTGAGTACTATCTGCCAGGTGCCATTCTAAGCACTTTGAATGTGTTAACACTCATGAGTTAACACACATATCAAACCAATTTTACAGGGCAGGCATCATTATTATCTATCTATCATAGCCAGGAAGCTACACAGGCATAAAATGATTAAGTAATCCACCCCAATACAAAGCTTGACTAATGAAGCTGCTGCTGCAATCCACCTTCACAGCCCATGCTCTCATGGCTGTTGGCCATTGTGTCTTACTCAGAAGCACTACTGGTTTACTTCACAGAAAAGTATCAGGCAGAAAAGAGTGGCTTTCCCTCATTAGCAGGACACAAGTCAATTCTGAAGAGGACAGCTTATATTTACCACATATAAAATAAACAGAAACACACCAGCTAAGTCATCACATGGCTTACACACCCTAATTCCTGGTGACTGTAGGTAAAGGTATCTCTAGGGCGCTCAACGTCAAAAAGAGACAAAGGTGATTCTATAATCTGTTACTGTCATCCCTTACATGAAAAGTACACTTTCAGCGTCTCTAGTTCCTTCAAGATTCCTATGTCAAATCAGATATTCAATTTTATTTCTTCTTTGCTAATAGAAAGCTCTACAATAAAAAAAAATAAGTCTAAAATTAAAAAGTATTTTGGAAAAAATCAAGTTATTCTTCAGTGATACTTTCAATTAAAAAATAACTGTTAAGAGACTTTACTCTTAGCCAAATGTGGTGGTGCATTCCTGTAATTCCAGCACTTGGGAGACTGAAGCAGGGAGGTCACTGCAAGTTTGAGGATAGCATGGGCTACAAAGTCAGTTCAGGGCCAGCCTGAACTGCATAGTGAAAACCCGTCTCAAAAAAAGGTAAAGATACACATAAGACAGAGAGAAGGAAAGAGAGACCTCACTTTTAGCAGTGAATTTTGCTGTTGAGCTGTTTCATAACAATCAGAAACTCACTTTATATAGAAAGGACCCTCACCCACACCAGAAAGTTCATACTAATAATGTAATTTATGGGAAACATGTATTTTGTTCAGTTGGGATACTAGGCCACCTTGTATCAGTTTGAGCATCATAGGAGCTAGACAATAAAAAATTAAATAATCCACATAGGTGTGTCATGCCTAGGAAGCTAAGTCCTAATAAAATTCCTGGACAACAAAGCTCAATGATTGCTGAGACCCTGCTTTGCAATATTCCATATGGGTTGCCAAAAATAATAGGAGAATCAAGCACTATTCATACAAATACACTAGAAGAGGACAATTAGAAGCTCACTCCTGGTCTCTCCCTGACTTTGCCTTATTCTCCCTTTACCTTTGCTGATTGTAATCTGAATCTTTTTGCTATAATAAACTACAACTATGAGTATCCCAGATTTCTGATCTCTGTAGGTCTTTTTAGTAAATCATTGAACTTAACATAGTTGTGGGGGGCTCCAATAACCAGATTACCTTTTCTCCCTAGATACCTAGTTTCCAGTCTGCCTTATTATTTGATTTCTTTGTCATGGATACTCACTATGTACCTTATGTACACTGACTCTTAAATCAGTTTCCAAATGTCAGCAGAAAGAATAAGCTCATATAATTTTCATCAAAATATAAAAAAGGACTTCTGAAATATAAGCCAATTATACAACTGACTTAAAATAAATGAGACTAACCAACTGCAAACAGATCATTTTTAGATTACTTCTGATGACTATTCTTCTTATCTCCCAAATTCCCCCTGTAAAACATATGTACCCCACAAAGTTCTGCCTGAAGTAGACATTTCACCCTTTTTCTAATGCTTCTTTTCCCTTCCATCACTGGGAAACATCTGCCTCCACACTTACAATGTATCATTAGTAGAGACAAGGCAGTAATCTACCCAAATACTCTAAAGGTGTAAGAGACAAAGGCATATTGTTGTTCTACTTTTAACAATTAAAAACAATGTTTTCCAAAGTCTTCCTCTTAACATGATTTTGGAATGACAGTGATCAGTAAGCAAGCCATACCAAAATCTGTCTGTTAACAGATATAACAGACACTAGGGTAGGGGCATTATTGGATGAAATCACCATGTTTGACAGCCCCTTCACTAAATGCATTAAAGAAACTAACTTCAAAAGGAGGTCAGCTCTTCTATCACCATAATATAAGACACCAATAATTACCTTTTTTTGCTTTCAATAAACTTTTGTTACTGATGTACAAAATCATGAAAATATTCAAATTCACCATCTTGAATATCAGATGTAACTCTTCTACATAAGTTTAATTGCAGTCTTTTACAAAGCGACTTGAAGAGGTACCCAGTTAGTGATATAGAGCCATTAAAACAGGAGGCATATTAGGGATAAGTCAGCAAAATCAACCGACATATGGTTTTTAATATGATGCACATGATGGCATACACTCTAAATAAAAGTGTGCTTGCTGACCTGGCACAGCTATAGAAATAAATATTGGAGGAGTTTCATATTTTAGATGTAGAAGAGGAAATACAGCACACTGGCAAGCATTTCTATCAATAGCTATGATCAGATTAATCAGAATCACTTCTCTCCTTCTACATGCCAGTCATAAGGATGATAATCCTGTAAATCTAGCATAATAAGAGCCTTAAGAGTAGAAATAAATATGAACAGTAAGCACACATGATGTATGTACTTTCTAGCAGACTTTTAGGAAGTCTGTTTGTATAAGTACACCTAATAAGCAATGGCAAATGAGCAGACAGACAAGCTTAAAGACTATAAAATAAGTCATTTGCAAAGAGACATTATAGCCCTGAAAGAATTCAGGCACTCTACTTCACTGAAGAAGAATTAACATGCTTGAAAATTGCACAAAGTTAGGTTACATTTTAAACTTTTGTACTCTAAAAAGACTATTATCTTGTAAGATTTAATTCAATTTGAATATATATTTTTACTTAATGATATAATTTTTGAAATTTTTAATTATATTCTCAATAGTTTAAGCTTTCTAGGATAATTCCATAGCAGATTTTGTACTGACTTCTCGTTAAATGTCTTACTGAATTTATGACACAACAGCAATTGTCTGTGACTGGTTTCCTATATCAGTTCTACATTCATGTTTATAAGTAACAAAATTTAGCACTGCAGTAATTATGTGGCAAAAAAAGTGCTAGGTGGATTTCTCAGTACACTTTTCATTTTTAAAATTTTGATGTCAAATTCTAGTAAATGTCAATATGTTCCTTCCATATCCACACCTGTCATCTGCACAAGTCAGTGTAATCTACAGATAAAAATGAGAAGAAATTGAGCATATTTTATGGCTGTTCTGCTTGAAGGAATAAGAATAAAGTAAATCAATACTTCTTGTCATTTCCTGAAAGTGCTGTATTCTCAAAGACATTCAGCCTGTATTTGCCCATTTAAACAAGGATAAAAACATAAAAAGAAAGTTTTTAATTCAGAAAATTAAGGCATCAATACTTCCTAGTCACAGAAATTGAAGTTTAAGGATTATTTCACAAACTAACATAAATATAATCTCACAGTTGGTTGCTCTCACTAATGCCACCTATCATTAAGAAAATCTAAAATTTCAAAAATTAAATCATATTGAACATCATATTATTGTCATGGAAATAAAACTAAATTTATAGCACCATTCAAAAATGTCAAAGTGTGTTTGATTCCCAGTTCCAAAAAAAATAAAATCAAAAGTATGGCTTTCTTTGCAGAATTAAAATTATAAAATCATTCAATGCATTTACTTATACAGTATGTTTTTATCATTTGTTGTTCTACCAATTCAGTAGAACATTTTTCTTAGAACTCTTAAAACTATACTGTTCAATATAATTTCTGACCTGTGGTAATAGATGTTTCTTGATTATCTTGACACATTGAACATATATTTAAATAGAATAAACTAAATGCTAAATTTGAAGAACCTCTTCAATAATCCTTTATAAACTAAGAAAAGTATTTCTGATTTTGAGATATATAGATCGATAGATAATACATAATTTTTCCCAGGTTAAGTATACAACTTAAACAGGGTTTAATATATATGACAAAAATTATTGATAATAAAATATGGAAGCCAAGGATTTAGCTCAGTGGCATAAGCAACTGCCTTGCAAGTGCCTGGTCATGAGTTCAATCCCTGGTACCAAAAAAAAAAAAAAAAGAGAGAGAGAGAGAGAGAGAGAGAGAGAAAGAAAGAAAAAAAAAAAAGAAAGAAAGAAAAATACAGTAAACCTACCATGTGTGGTGTCCACACCGGTAATCCCAGCACTTGGGAAGCTGAGGCAGGAGGATTCCCATGAGTCTGAGGTCAGTCTAAGCTACATAGTGAGTTCAAGGCCAGTCTGAACTACACTGTAAGACCCCATCAAAAGATGGAAAAGAAATCAGAATTAGTTAGAATTTGGAGTTAGAGTCTAAATCTTGGCTAAACATATTAAGTGCTAACCTTGGTGCAATTTTGACCTCTTTAAGATCAAGATTCATTAATTATACAGTGAGAGTACAATGAATGTATGTACAGTTGCTCTGAAAATTAAATGAACATCTAATTACACAGTACTTGACACCAGATATTCAGCAAACTTTTTTTAAACACTTTAGCTGATTTTCAATGTTTACATATGAAATATAAATACCATTATATCACTATCCCAAAAAATGATGTACAAATGCTTATTATAAATATTATTTTCCTGAACACCAAAATTATCTAATTCCTTAATGCATCAAACATAACAATATAAATTAAAAGTCAATAACTTCTGACAACAAAAATAAGAAAGTTAAAGCCCTATATCTACAATTTGTCTGATGTAAGTCATGTAACATAGAAACAAAAGAATATTAAAAAGATGCATTTAGGTTGGGGATTTGGCTCAGTGGCATAAGCGTGTGCTTGGCAAGTGCAAGGTTGTGAGTTCAATTCCAAGTACCACTAAAAATAATGCATTTAATTATTATGCACATTAAAACAGTGACAGCAGAGTTCTTTTTCACCATAAATTATTTATATTCATTTATTTAGCTACAGACATTAGCTTGAGAGGAGTTACTGGTATACTCGTAGTATTTCTTGACAGCAAATAATTGTTTTATATTTGTAGCATGTTGAAGACAATAAGAAAATAAGATTCTTTTGAATCTCAGTCTCTGAGAGTTCAAGGTATTTTGGGGACAATCTTGGTGTTCTAGGTAGCCTGATAAATTCACTAAAATCAAATAGTGTGTCTGTATCATCTATTTGAATATTGTTTAGGATTTTGTTGAAATTCAAATTTTTAAAATTATTTAAAAGCTATTAAATACATCTCTAGAACTAATTTCCTTTCTTTTCTTTTTTTGGTGGTGGTACTGAAGATTGAATTCGTGACGCCAGGCTTGCCAGGCAGGCACTTAGTCTACTGAGCTACATTCCCAGCCCTTATAGAACTAATTTCTATATAATAACTATTTTTTACATTATCAATGAATTGAAAACATGATTTCTTAGTGGAAGTAATGCTCACTAAAAACAAAAATTCCCAAGAAGTATCTCATTTCTTCTTATTAAACTCAATTGGGCAAGTAATGTGCTCAAGTCACTGTCTGAGTAAGGAGTGTAGAGTTGAAGAAGAAAAGTCATATCAATAGTTCATAAACTGTGAAAAACACAGAAATGGCACAACGTATGCCACATTAAGCTACCTCACTTATTTCCCTTTCAAATGTCAATCACAAGAGATTCTTTAGGTACCTAGTATATTTTGTCCTATACAAGGTATGTGTAAGCAGTATTTTCCCTTCCTACTTTAAGATCTCAGCAGATGTAGCAGTAGGTTCTAGATGATCAGTATATACAAGACATCCACATCCACTGCCAGATTCTGTTGATTGCATCAATAGCTCTTTTTCCTTCCTCCTTACTGATACAACTGTGACATTACTCGGGTAAGTGGGTGGAAATAATATGCCTACATTTAAACAAACTACATTTCCCTTCAAAAACCTTGACATAATCCTTCCTTGTTCATGAACTGTAAGTGTAAGTCACAGGTCGGGCTGTGGAGAAAATCCTGTATAAGGAACCACGTAGCTTGCTTTTTCCACTTAGCCTTTACCTTCTCTGTCTTTCTGCCCGTAATTCTATAGTGCTTGCTGGACTTTAAGACCATCACAACAGTATGAGGACCAAGGCCAAACCCTAAGAACGGTGGTTCCCAAAGTCAAATAAATGGCTTCACTGTGGTGTTTCCACTGGCCAGAGAGACTGTGAGAGCTTTGACCCTACCACTGGACAACAGGTACTGCCCTTCCACACAGCTAAAAGCTGTAGAGAGATTTTAGTTCTATAGCTTCCCATTTCACCTCCTCCAAGTTAATGTACATACTCCACCAGTCTTGTTTCTCTTCATACTCTGTGACTTTAAAGTAGTGTTTTTTAAATATCTTCAGGTTAGCTATTTCCTTTGGGAAAGTTGTAAATTCTAGTATAGTCTAAGTTCTCCAATTCTTGGAAAGAATCCCTTGTATTTTACTCCTACTAAGCCCCAAGAATCTGGACTACTATTGCAAATAGCTTCTTAATCAGAGAATAGTACTCATAAAACCAAATTCAATGGTAGAGTTCACTAAAACAGAATTACTTCCACATTCTTTGAAGAGCTCTTCATTTTTCATTAAAATAGTTTTATTTAATCATTTTGAAAACATTAAGTATTTCCATGAATTGCTCGTGATTTAGATAAAGATGAGTATTGGTTATACATATAGGAAATAGGAAAACAAATAAAACCATGAATGACTGTCACTCATTAACATGTTTTAGACCATCTCAGGTAAAGTAATTAGCATATACATGTTGACTGGTAGGTAACTAACCTTATGGTGATGAGTAAAGTTTGGGAATATTAAGGATGTATGCAAAATTATTCTTGTCTTTTAAATCAACATTACCTTTCTATAATTGTTTGGAGATAAAAAAAGACTGATAAGGAAAAATTAACCCAAAGCATATAATGGAATGCTGAAAACTGAAAAAATGATGAATGAAAAACCTACCAACTTATGACACAATATATGAAGCTAAGATTAGATAACTGGGTTATTTCCTCTAGATGTTAGGCTAAAACTATGAATAGATAACATCTAGTAACTTGTAGAATACGAACAATATATACAGCTCATCAAAGATCACCAAATAAGCTTAACATAGAAACAGACAATTAAGAACAAGGGTTTTAATACATGATCTATGCCTATTTCTTACATTTGTTTAAACACATATGTTAAATAAAGTTAAAAAAGACTCCAATTTTTTAAATTCTGAGTGACTAAAAATGATTCAGTTACTAAGAAAAATAATTTGGAAACAAGTGACTAGGGAAGAAGAAAAGGAAATGATAAATTGCTCTGAGCATGTGCAATTTGCATAAAAAGCAAATCAATCCCTCTGAAACTTACTGTTTATAGTACAGGATAGATGCCACTGGAGAGACTTTTATCACACACGGACATGAACATTCACAACATAGATCAACCCAAGACTCCAAGACTTGGCTTCCATTATTGCAGAACTGAGGTTGCAAATTATAGAAATGTATATGGAGAATTAAAATATAATTGTCATAATCTAAGAAAACATAAATAGAAGTTATTAAATGTTAACTTCTTTCCTTCTTGCCTTCCACCCATATGATAGATGTTATCTATTCATAGTTTTAGCCTAACATCTTTTTGAATTCCTAATTTGACACCTAAAGTTCTACTTCAAAATAATCCATATCCTAACCATCTCTCAAAATCACATGTTTGTACCAACTGCATAAACTTTATTCCTAGTCCTTCCATTGTTTTTCAATTTGAAATACTTATGTAGCCTTTAAGGTCCAATTTAAGGCTCATTCTTTTGGAAAGCAAGCAATCATTTCAATCTGTAGGTTTTTCTTTACTAACAATTATCTTTACATAATTAAAACACAGCTCTTATCCAGCAAAGCTATGTCTAAAATTCTTTTTGTTTATAAATACAGTACTCAGCTCCAGCTTCTGGCCACCCTCATAGAAGAAGAATTTGCTAAATAAAGGACCCTGTGACTCTGACAATTAAAATCAAAGAGCTCTTCCTGTGAGCCAGCAGCAGTCATGTGGGGCCTGGGAGGAGAAACAAGAAGCCAATTCATCCTTCTTGTGAGCCAGATGGTGCTTGGGCTGGGAGAAAAACACACACACACACACACACACACACACACACACACACGAAGCAACTGGTTGACTCAGAAGAATACAGGTAAAGTTGATATCAACGGAGGTACAAAAACAACCTAATACTTGTATTGTTTGGTTGACTTTGTAGTCCTAAAGATAGCAGTCTGAGCATCTATTTGGAGGATAACAGTATGCAATATAGCAACTATGGGATTTCCTTCTGTGTTGTTTTTGAAATCCAATATTATTCTCAATGTTTTGTTTTGTTCCATTTTATAGTTTTGTTTTATTCAATGTTCTGGTTTGATTGGTTTTATTCTGTTCTGGTTTGTCTGGTTTTATTGTATCTGATGGTATAGGCAGCAATTTTGAAGATAACAAGGGACATTATGGTAGCCATTGTTAATTTCCTATTATTCTGTTTTGAAGTCTGTATCACTTTCACTGTTTTATTTTGATTGGCTTTATTCTGCTCTATTTGTTTGGTTTTATTCTCTTTAAAATAAAATTAAAAAAATAAAAAATAAAATCAAAGGGCTAATATCAATTCAGATAAAATTTAAACTTATGAAATGTGACTTTTTTCTTTATTATCAACTAGCTAGAAAATCAAACTTCAAAATAATCATTATTTTAATAAAGAAAAATAATTATCCTTTGCAGTAAAATGCAGTTCAGTATAATAAGGGGCCATAAAAGATCTTATATCATAATCTTCATTTAACTATTGTATAAGATAAGAACTAAACAGAAATGGACTGCTATGAGAATTGTGTAGAATCACAAATAAGTGTTTTTAGTATTTTAAAAGCAATTTGTTAATTTGAGATGCATTTTTAAATGGCTTATGGTATTAGAATTAATTCTGTAACAACAGTAACTTACATACTATTGATCATTTTAAGTGTGACAAAAATAATACATGAAACTTATGCATACCAGTTGGACCACTAAAATTATATACAAAAGCTTCATTTAGACAAAAAAAAAGAAAACTGCCATTTCCAGATTTGCTTCCTCACCCTTCCCCACCCACCATCTTGATTCTGCAAATGGTAGAATTAAAGCTCCTTTCTTCTACATCAACTCCTTCGTACTCTCAAGGTTGTCTAGTCATACACATCTTTTAAAATGAAAGAGGAAACATTTCAAAAGCTGGATTCACATTA